TCATACCCAATCAATTCCCAAGTCCTGTCAATTCAATGTTGATAACAGTTCCCATATACACCTTCTTCTTTCTCTGATGCTGCTTCCACACTGCTGCAGGCTCTCATCACTTCATGCCTAGACTATTGCAATAGCCTTCTGGATGGTCTCCCTCACTCAAGTCCCTCCCCCCTCCAGGGTACCTTCCACTCAGCTGTCAGTCTAATCTCCTGAAAGCACAGATCGGACCATGTCCCGTCAGTTATTCAATAAACTCCAGTGTCTCCCTTTGGCCTCCAAGATCAGATAGGAAATTCTTTGGCTTTTAAAGCCCTTCATAATCTGATGCTCCTCACCTTGCCACTCTCTGTATTCTGCCTCCAGTGATGCTGGACACAAGATCCTACATTTCCCAACTGTGGGCATTTTTTCTGGCTGTTCCTGGCTGTTTTCTGGCTCCATTCCTGGAACATTCTCTCCCACCTCATCTCTTCCTCCTGGCTTCTCTGGTTTCCTTCATTTTCTTTTTAGGCAGTTGGGGTTAAGTGACTTGCCCAGGGTCACACAGCTAGTAAGTGTCAAGTGTTTGGTCTGAGGCTGGATTTGAACTCAGGTCCTCCTGACTTCAGGGCAGGCACTCTATCCACTGCGCCACCTAGCTGCCCTTCTGGTTTCCTTCAAGGCCCAACTAAAATTCCCTATTAGATTATGCACAACTTGAGGGCAGAGACTGTCCTGCCTTTCTTTGTCTCTACCACACTCAGCACAGTGCCTGGCACACAGTAAGCATTTGATAAAAGGTTGTTGACTTGACTATGTGGATGGTTTTTGTGAGCTTCTTTGGAGCCTGCAACTTTACTGAATTTATTCATTTATTTCAGTTCATTTTTCTGCTGATACCCTTGAATTTTCTAAGTAAGCCATCACATCATCAGCAAACAAAGTTTCATCTCCTCTTTGCCCTGAATTTTCTAATACTCACAGTCCTCTCAAATCTACTCAAGTGCATGTCACATTTGAGAAAAGTTCTCATCCCATAATTAGAGCATAGTTCTCTTAGGAAACACCCCAAATAGCTCATGGGGTATGCATAGAGATATACTATACCTTAGACCTAGCAATTTCTCCCCAGAGAGGCACACTGCCTTGTCTAGTTCTGCTTCTAAGTTAATATCTAATGCCTAGCATAATAATAATTAGAAGGGGGTTCCCGTTGTCTTTTCCTCTGAAGGATTACACATGTACTTCAGATGAAGTCTCATCAACTTCTTCCTTCAGGTCTCCATCCAGATCAACATTAACTACTATTTAGGTCAGCAGTACTTCGACCCCAATCTCCCTGCTGCTACTTGTCTCCAGAGGGCAGAACTAGAAATGGGGTAGGAATTGACAAATATATAACACTAAGAGCCATTCACTGTCTAATAGATAACTGATCAAAGTACATGAACAGGTTTTAAATTTTTTTTCGTACTATAAGTGGACACATCAAAAAATGCCCATAGTCAATATTGATGATAAAAGTGCAAGTGAAAACCCCCAGGGGCTCACCTTGCACTACATAGATTGGCAAAGGTGACACAAGATAAGAAAGCCAATGTTGGAAGGACTCTAGGAAGACAGACATGTTGTTGTACTGTTGGTGAAACTATGAAGTACTCTAACTATTCTGGATTTCAGTTTGGAATTATGAAAAAAAACAAGTGACTAAACCTCCTATATCCTTTGACCCAGAAAATTCAAGGCTGTACGTATTTACTCCAAGAAAGGCCAGACAGAGACAAAGGTCCAACATCCAAGATGAGTTATAGTAGCCCTCTTTGTGGCAACAAAGAATTGGAAAGAAAGAATATAATATGGCAGGTCTCAGAGGAAGTCAGGAATGACTTGGGAGCACGATTACTCTCAACTTTTCCTCTTTCATCTTTTCAATTAATTGATCCACCCTAGAATCATAGGTTTCGAGCAAGAAAGGACGTTAGGGGTCATCATTCATCCTCCTCCTGTTATAGAAGAGGAGAAGAGATGCGTCTTTCTCAGGTCACCCAGGTAGGATCCTGGAGCTGAAGGTGGTAGAGTCCTAAGAAGCCTCTTAGGCCAACCTCATCATTTTAGTTCCAGGGTAGGGTCAAAGACCTCTCATAGGGCTGCAGGGTCATAGATCTAAGGCTGGAAGTGATCTAAGAGATCCTCGCAACAGGTAGGAGCTATTACGATCCCCATTTTGTATTTAGGGAAACTGAGGCAGACAGAGGTTAAGTGACTTGTTCAGGGCTACACAGCTAGTAAGACTATGGATTTGAACTCACATCTTCCTGACTCCAGATCCAGTGCTCGATCTATTATGCCCCCTACCTGCCTCAAGGAGGAAAATACACAGATATAAGTATTAACAAAGTAAATACAAAGTAACTGGAAGCAGTGGAAAGAACCATGGAAAGAACATGGCTCTGAAATCAGAAGACCTGGATTCAGATCCTGCCTCTTACTATATGACTTTGGGCAGGGTACTTCATTTCTCTGAGCCTCAGTTTCCTCATCTGTAAAATGAGGAGGCTGCACTGTATGGTCTCTGACGTCCTAGCTCTAGTTGCCTATGTCCCTTGGCATTAAAGAAGTCTTAGACTCTACTTTGGAAGCAAAAAGGAAGGGATTGGACTAGACGCCTCTTCAGTCCCTTCCAGGTATAAACTCCCAATCCCCACCACCCACTTGTTCCTCTGGGTAATGGCTCCATCCATGAGGGCAATAGGAATTCCCGAAATGCTTTCATAAGCTCCTAGAAGTTACCAGTGGGAGAGACTTCAGGTGCCTCACAAGAACTAAGTGTGGGGGTGGGGGGTGGGAAGAGGAATGATGATTGGCAAGTGTTCAAGGCAGTTGTGTCCAATTCTTTGTGACCCCATTTGGGTTTTCCTGGCAGAGATATTGGAGCGGTTTGTCATTTCCTTCTCCAGTTAGTTTTACAGATGAGGAAACTGAGGCAAAGAGGGCAAAGTGACTTACCCAGGGTCACACAGTTAGTACGTGTCTGAGGCCAGATTCAAACTCAGGAAGATGAGTCTTCCTGACTCCAGGCCCAACCTTCTATCCATTATCCAGCTTCATGTGCTTTCTAGCTATGTGACTGGGGAAGTCACCTCATTTCTGTCTGTCTCAGTTTCCTCCACTATGTATTATAATAATACCTATTTCCCAGGAGTGGTTGTGAGAATCAAGTGAGATAATATATTTACAATGCATCTTAAAACGCTCTATGAATGTTAGTTATTATCATTAGTTATTATGATTGTTCAATGAGCTACGCCAGGTTTCTAGTCAGGGAACCTGAGAATGATTCCCAGACTGGACACTTACTAGTCTCGTTGCTTTGGGCAAGCTAGCTGACCTGCCTGGACTCATTTTCCTTGCTTGTAAAATGAGGGAGTTGACCTAGGACGTCCTTTCCAGCTCTTGATCAATGACCCCGTTTCATATGGAGCTCGTACCGACATCAGAGGAGAATCAGCAAAGACCCTGTCTAGGGGATGGGGCTTGAGCTAGGGGTTCCTGGGGCTTCAGTAAGTGGCAGAGCAGGGATTTGAACCCTGGTCCTCTCACTCCCAACCCACCCCTCTTTCCCCTCCCCCTGGCTTTTTGAACAACATCACCATCAGTACATGAGCTTGCTTCCTCCTCCTACTCCTCTTCTTCCTCTTCCTCCTCCAAAAAGTGCCGTCTGTTATACACTCTCTTCCCTGTCTGGTTTGTGCTGGTTCTGCAAGCCACCCATCAGTCGTCCCTTCCAGCTTCCTGAGCCCGAGCATCTCTGCACTCAGTGGGTGGTCAATAAATTCAGCGACATAATTTTGGATGGTGGATAGTCACATACAGAGCTTTACAAGAAAATAGTGTAATAAATGTGAAAATGGGGCTCTTTTGGCAGGGAGCATTCCAGAAACGTAGGTAGCAGGGCTGGCTCTTCCCATGCCCCTCTCCATTGCTTTCTAAATAAACGGAATAAACAAGTTCAAATGAGGAGACCAGGTAGCTGCCTCCTCTCAGCCTGCCCTGGCCAGGCTAGATCCTTGATAGAACCATCCCGGTGCTTCCTCCAGGCCATCCAGCACCCTGAGCCCCAGAACATACCATCTGTTGATTAAAAGTATAATATAGCCCATCATCTATATTATTAAAGTAGACAGACCCCAAATCCCTCCTTCTGCAACCGCTCATTTCACTGGAGCACACTGTATTTGTCTTGTCAGAGCAAACCACTTATCTTCTAACCCGATAGATATTATAATTGTTTGGGTCAGAAAAAATTAAGCTCAGCTATCGTCAATCACTCCTGCTCATTGGCTGCCTTCTCCAGAAGCCAGAGATTCTGGGGACACTAAGTAATGGGAATCTGGCTAGGGAATGAGAATGGAAACCCAGAATGCTCCATTATCTCCATGTTTCCCTGGGTCTGTGGGGGAAGGGGTAGGCATGGGGAGGGTGGAGGGTTGAGGATTTTCTCCATCACCATAACAGACCTGTCTGGGCAGGAGTGCTGAGCTGACTCCCACATGCCAACTTCACACAGAATCACCATCCACTCACATCAGTCACTTCTCCCTCTTTTTCCAGGTGGAAACATTTTAATATTGCAGGGCATCAGCCCTGGTATGTCTACAGGCTGAGGGGCTGGGGGTGGGGCTGAAGTTTGACAACCAGTACTGACACTGATGTCATTAAAGAAACCCAAGACCACCAGCCCAGCTGAGAAAGTCAGTTAATCTGTCAGGTTCATGGCTGGGGAACACTGAATTTCTGCACCAATCTCTTCAATTTCCCCCCAAAACATCCCTGACTCTTCGGAGAGAGGATTTCAGGCCCATTGTAATTGCTGGGACAGAGAAAAGGCAAGAGAAGTGTTCCAAGGAAGTTAGTGCTGGAATGAGGCTCTTGGGCAGCGTGCTGGCTTAAGAAAGGAAGACTCATCTCACGTGTGACAGTAAAGGCTTTGCATAATAATCTGGGTCTCTTGTCATTTGCAGGAGACTCTAGCATCACAGAAAACAAAGATGATTTCCTCTCTCCTCATTTCCCAGCTGATTGATGAGCGTCGATTGCAGAAGAATGCCCCAGCCTTGCCAGGGCAGCACGTGATGGTTCAGCCTGAAATCCATCCTCTGAACCAGTCTTTGGCCGGTCACAGTGCAGCTAACATTGACCAAGCCTCTTCCTTGCTTCCCGGCAGAATGAGAATCAAAACATCCTGCAGGGAGGCTGGGTCTGGAACCAAGCTGTCTTCCCAGGAGAAAAATCAGGATCCTAACCCAAGAAAAGGGTTTTCCTCCATTACCATCACAGCCAGGCGAGTTGCTTCTCCGGCCAGCACCCTGATATGGGGCACTACTGTTGACCCCCTGTGCTCCAAGGGCGGGACCAAGGACAGACTCATGGACAAAACAGCTTTGGCCAGTGATCAGGAAGCAGAACCTTCCCACAAACTCCTAAATGGTCATGAGGGCTCCGTGAATAGGTTGGCAACTCCATTCAAGACTTCTGAACCTCACAGGCAGTTGTGTGAAGGTCATCCATGCTGGTTTTTGAACCCTGAAAATAAGGAGAATACGATGATCCCTCCAGCCATCCCAAGTCGTGGAGAGAAAGTTCCCCTTCTGTTTAGCTCCTGTGTGCACCTGCGAGTGTCTCAGCCATGCGCAAACACCGTCCATTACTTAGACAGATCTCTTTCCATACCTCTTGACCAGTCTCCCATTACAGGCTCCAAAATGCACAGATCCGTTCTGTCCCTCAACCTGAACTGTAATTCTCATGGATTAACACCAGATGGAGTAGATCGCATGGCTAATACAGAGGAGGAAGACACGGTAGACAATCCACTGAGCCAGAAGCATGCCGAGCAAAATGAAAACAGGTCCCCGACAGCTTGGGACGCAGACTTCAAAGACAGCTGTCTAAAGGAAAACCCACCTTGGCACGGAGTCTCTTCAGGGAATTACCCATGTCCTTGGAGCAGCACATCTCCCCTGGGAAGCCCAGAGTTTTCAGAGACTGGGAAAGGAACAAATCACTTAACAGTGGGGAAGGTGAAAGGAGACAGCATGGCCTTGTACCACACCCTTAACCACCCCAATAAGCTGTCTATTCACATCCCAGGCTGGAGCTATGCAGCAGGTGAGTGGCGGGCAAATTGGTTCACCCTTGGGCCAGTCCAAGTACAGACTAATTCCAGCTAACCATTGGACAATGGGTGGCTCTTCAGAATACATACATACCAGACTTTTTTCAGCTACATTCTTGTTTTATAATCAAAAACCAATTCTGGTATTGGAGGTTAAAGCCTAGCACTGTCCCGTGGTTTTTACATCAAAAAATAATTCTTGAATGTCAACAGTAGGGCCAAAACAACAGGCCGAAAAAAGAGTGTTGGGAGCTGGGTTGACACCAGATCAAACATGTGTATGGGAAAGGTAATGTTCAGTCTACCATCTGGATGTCTGGTGCTAGGGAGACAATGCATCTGGCTTTGTGGAAGAAAAATCTGAATGGGGGACTGGATTTACCGTTCTTCCTTTAGCTGTCTGATCAAGGGGGCCAGATATAGAAGCTGCGGCCACAGAAACACCAGCCATGATTGATGATTTTTTTTTTAAAAGAAATCATTGATTTCAATTTTCTCTCCTTTCTCCCTTTCTCCCACATCATGTTATGGGGTGGCGGAAAGTTCTGAGATCCCGAAAATGATGCCAGCAGATGGCAAGTCCTAGCAGAGCTCAGCAATATGGAAAAGTTCAGCGTTTGGACTTGCCAAAGGAGGGGGATCTATCATCCAAGAATCAGCCTGATTACATTTAAGTAGTTCATCACAAGGAGGTTGGCCACCAGCTGACATTTGAATTGGAGAGGCTGTGTGGTGCAGTGGGTTAAGACCTTGACCTTCCAAGAAAGACCTGGGTTCACTTCCTGCCTCAGATGCTCCCTAGCTGTGTGGCGCTAAGCCACTCCATGCCTCAGTTTCCTCATCTATAAAATGAGCAGCATGGACTCATTGGCTTCATCCCTTCCCATTCTAAGTCCCTGACTCTACGAATTTTTTTCAGTGACAGCCACAGCAGAACATCCTGCTCAGGAAGAGAAGGGTTGTATGCACCCCAAAGGAAAGGGGACAGATTCTTGGATGACAGATAGAAAAGTATGATGGAAATAAGAGGGATTAGTGTTAGTGCTGCTGCAGTAACCTTCTAGAAATAATGACCGTGACCCTCTTTTGGCCCAGGAGGGAAAGAGGTATGCATGCATGCACTTATAGGGGGGCAGAGAACTGGGAAGCCATTTGGGGCTTTCCTTTCCTATTCTTTTGTCCAGTGGGGCTCTGGCTGAGCTTGCCTTTGGGACTCAGCTGCAGCTCCTCCCTCTGAAGCCGGGCCATGCTGGCTCTGCCCAGAGGGTGTGACCTGCCTGAGACCCATGGCCTTGAAGGGCTAGAGCTGAGACTCATCTGCCTTGCTTCCCACTGTAAACTTTTGTTTGGAAGCTTTGAAATTAGAGGGCCGCAAACAAGTTACTTTCCTCCTACTTGGGAAAATTATGTAAAGATAATGGTAGCAAAAATTTTAAAGCTGCATATGCATAATAATTTTACTGTACAACTTTTCTCCATTAAAAGCTTTATTAAGGAATAAAACTGATTGTAAAACACTTTGAAACGATAATATGCCCTAGACATGTTTAAAAACATAATTAAGTTTGACAAGGGTATGTGTGGTGAATGCTTGGAGACGTTTTATGAAGATGCAGACAGTTTTTTTCCATGGCATCTAAAGCAAGGCATGAAAAGTCTATAGACCTATCAACAAGAGGAGAAATGGGGCCAGTTGTCAGTTTGCCAATGATGAGCCCACCCCCTCTTCATTTCTCAAGAAATGGGACAAGCCAAGTATGTTACCTTGGTTATTAGCAGAGCAACATTCCAAAAATAAGTCCGGTTTATTTTTTTATTGCTTCTTTAAGCTTGACCCAATGAATTCTCAAAAACCAACTTGGATGATAGAGAATCATAAATGTTTGCATTTATTATATTTTATGTTGAAGAATCTTGAGAAATTAATACAATCCAACCTCAAATGCCCTTGACAAAGGACAGGCACATCGATAAACATGCAGGTTCAGCCTTAGGATGTTTCCTTCTTCTTTTTAACAAAATTTAATTTCCTAGTCAGTTTGCCTGGGCTAATTTTTAAACTAGTTTATCTGAAACTTAACCTTAAACACCAATACAAACTACCATGCTTATTAGCTGTTCACATTTCAATTAACTGATTACTATGTAAGCAAGGAGGGGACACATCTGAAATTTCTTCAGTGAGGAAACTCCTGGCAAATCCTTCCTTTGTCATTTACCGGCTGTGTGACCTTGACCAAGTCCCTTAACCTCCACAGGCATCAGTCTGCTCATTTCTAAGGCAAAGGGGCTGAACGAGGTGACCTCTGAGGTACCATCTGACTCTAAATCTGGGATCCTATGTGTGACCTTGGGGGAGTCACTTCACACTCCCTTGGTCCTCAGTTTCCTCAACTGCCAAATGAAGGAGGTGGCCCTGATGACCTCTGAGGTCACTTCCAAGTCAAGATTGATGAGTGTTGATGGAACAACTGTTCCTCAGCTTACAGTCTTAGAGTTTCCTGAAACCCAAAGAGTTAAATGACTTGTCCAGGGTCACACAGCCAGTTCTTGGTAGAGCGAGGCCTTGAACCCTTCTTGACCCATGAGCTCACTCTGCATCCGTCACTGTCTTCACTTCAGTGCGCCACATAGCCTGACGTTTCCTCAGTCCCTCCTGCCGAGACCCTGTCAGAACTCTGTCCATTCCTCCTCATTCAGTTTTCTCCATCTTGTCCCTGTCAGTGTGTCTTTCTCCTACTGCTTCTGCCATCTTCGTTTCCCACGATTTCTTAAAGGGTTTTCAGGTTTTTCTGTGGTCTGTGCGCTTAAATATTGTCACAACAACCCCGGGAGGTAGGACCTATTATTATCCCCTTACAGGCGAGAAAACAGAGGCAGATAAAGGTTACATGGTTTGCCAAGGCTCACACAGCTAAGAAGTTCCAAGGTCAGATTTGAGCTCAGTCTTCCTGATTCTGGGTCTATTGATCTATCCACTCCTCTTCCCAACTGCCTTAATTTATAATGTTTATAACAGTCTTTGACCTTTTCCCTTTTATGGGCTTGCAGACACATTGATTTTAGTGTTTCTTACGGTCATTTTCCTTCAGAAATGTGTTCCCCTACGTTCCCTTCCTTACCGTGGCAACTGAGTTTCCTCTCCCTGTTCCAGATTCCCCCACCTGCCTCCACCCTATATAGTGAAAAATATGAGATTATGCCTTAGGGAGCTAGTGGTCTGTTCAGAGGTGGATGACAAATTAGATACCCCCTTTTCTCACCAATGGTGCGTTTCATTTACCTCTTCCAGGTAGACTGAGAATTCTCAAGTGGACTTCAGGAAAACCCACTAATTACAGAAGGGAGATTTGTGTAAATGTAGTCGCTGCACCTAGTTTCCTTGGCTCTATCTCTTTCACTCTGCATTGATGTGTGGAAATCTTTCTACAGCTGTGCTTTTTATCATCTTTGTTGTTTCTTGTAGCACAATAATATTCCATCACACTCATGTACCATAATTTCTTTACCCATATCTCAAGTCATAAGCATCTACTTTATCTCTAATTCTTTGCTGTCACAAAAAGTGCTGCTGTAAGTATTTTGGTATACATGGGGACTTTGTTCTCATTAATGACCTCCTTGGAGAATAAGCCTTGCAGTGGAATTCAAGGATATGGGCATTTAGTCACTTTATTTGCATAATTCCAAATTATTTTCTGAAATGGTTATACCGATTCACAACTCCACCAACAATGCACAAGTGTGCCTCTCTTCCCATAACCCCACCAACATTGACTTCCTATGTTTTTCATTTTTGCCAATTTTCATGATGTGAGGTGAAACCTCAGGGTTTCGACAGGCATTTATTTAGTACCTACTAAGCGTTGGGGTTACAAAGACCAGAAAGGAGCTTAGACTTTACTGTGGAGATACGACAGGCACCTTGATGGAAAACTTTGTACCAAATACGTACAAAACGATCCATAGCAGTTTGAAGAGGGGGAGAACATTTCCTCTGGGAAGGTGAGGAAAGATCACATGTAGGTGGTAGCACTTGAGCTGAGCTTTGGAGGAGGGTTCTAAGAGCCAGAGGCGAGGAAGGAAGGCATTTTAGGTCTGTGGGACGACCTAAGTTTATCTGCCTGAGATCCTGGGTGCCAGAGTAGTGGCCTGCTCATGCCTGTTCTCTGCCTGTGTTACTCCACTGTGTCCAGGACACCCCGGGAAGCTGTGAACCAGACACACCTCTGATGACCTCACAAAGCCCTGGGCTTATGTCCTCAGGTGCTTTTGACTCTCTTTAAATACCTCCCTTTGGCCTCCTTTTCATACTTTCCACCTGAAACACTTTTTCACCAGGGAACTGTGTATTACTATGTGAGATTCCTATGAATAAGGTAGGTGGTGAGAAAGAAGAGGAACATATTTAATTCATACCTGATGGAAATGATTTTTAAAACCCTTGATTTGGGCTCCCTTTCCTCCATGTAGACCAGAGACCCAATCAATACCTTTGTATAATATGTGACATCCTCCAGGTGACAAAATCAAATTGAGCTGAAAGCAAACAAGATGAAATACATTGTAGGAAAAATATGCTTAAAGATTTTAAAATCTTTACTTACATACTCTTAAATAAGTTTCACAATTTTCCGTGCCTCTTTCAGCCTTTTCTAAATAGTCCCAACACAGACTCCTGGATCTTTTACAAAAACAAAACAAAACAAAACAAAATAAAAAAAAAAACCAGTCACTTTAACTAGCAGTCCCACACAAAAGTCTATCAATCCTACCCCTGCCTTTGTGCAGGCTGGCTTCCAGGCCTGCCGTGTGCTCCCCCCTCATTTCGGCCCCTGGTTTCCTTCAGACCTCAGCTCAGACATCGCATCCCATAGGAGCCTTTCCCTGATCTCCCCCTACTGCCAGATGCTAGTATCTCCCAACCAGAACAACCTTGCATGTACTTGGCACAAGCTTCAGTATGCACGTGTCATTTCCCCCAGTGGATTGT